ACCCGTCTGGCATTTCTGTCATATCCCGCATGGATGACAACACGCGCGCACACCCGTAGTCGACCAGCATTTGTTTCAGGCGTGGACAACGATGTGCACACCTAATTGGCGGGATAATTATCGCTGCTACACACAGCCATGCTTTCGGAAGGCCGATTATCTCTCCCAAAGGCTCCTCGACATAATTAAGGCAATTTATCAATTATTCCACCCGAAGGTTTTACGATGATCCGCTAATTTATTCTCTCTCAACAAACCGCGAAAAATTTATATCAATCCAGAATAATTCCAAAAATAAAATATGTTACCTCGCATAATGATTTTTATTAATACAACTAACTGTCAATAAAACATAATGAATATTTAGTGATAATCGTGAAAAAGATTATATATGAAATACGAAATAAATTGAAATTTTCAGCTTGTAACAAGATCACGAAAATGCTCTGTGATTGGTATATGTATAATTAGATTTTATTATTTAAATCTCTAATTAAATTTGCCTACGATATGTGAAAGGCTGACAACCGCGCAAATAAAACTGCTGAAATAAATTAACGAATGTAAACAAAGGTTAAAATTAGGTATTGCGTATTTAATTACGTATATTAAACGGCCTGTAATTTGTTTAGAGGACAACGCGTGTTACCGCAAAGTTGCATTGAAATCTCGCAATGATGCGCGTGCGCATCGCTCGCATAACTCGTGTTGCAACAACAACAATCAGCGGCAATGCAACCGACATTGTTACTGTTCATACTTGGCCAATGTTAACCTTAATTCGCACGTCATCCCGACATTCCCTTCTCGTCACGTAAAATATTAAGACGCGAAATATTTCAAATATCTCGCGACGCTAGCATATCACAAAGAATGCACAGCGGAACTTCCGAACGTTGCTTCTTGAATATTTCCGGAGAGAGAATGGGAGAGAAAGAGAGAGAGCGACTAACGACATACTTTTAAATTAAAGTCTATGAAAATAAAAATGTAGAAATTTAAAAAATATAAAAAAAATATGAAAAAATATAGAGACAAAATAAAGACATTGATGTTAAACTATTTGTAATTTTCGCGCCGTAATTTGTTAATTATTTCAAATATATTATACAAGGTACTTATATTGTACATTTTAATTGTGAGAATAATCTTTGAAACAGCACAATATAGTTTTAGCATTTAGCTGCCTCGCACAAAGAACATTATATGATACGAACATCTAATCCGCGTCTTATCTAATCAGCCGAGCTTCCTACGATTCAGGTATCACAACACATTATCTCGGCGATGCATTTTATACATTGGATAAATGTGCGTTGCGTTCTATTAACAGACTTTAGTCTAACAGACTCATACTGTCAGTCTCTTTTGTCTTTGCTACACGCTTCGCCGTAACATAGCGAGAACTTCATGAATCCATGGACACGTTAACTATTGGGAATTCCAAAGTTTCTCGGTGCGTCGCGCGCGCGCAGGATTCTCGCCGGTCGTTGCACCGTCCAACCGCATTTCCGCGCCTCGAATGCATCCCGCGCGCACATGCACCGGTAACTAAGGGTACGTCACGGTGCACAACGGGGAAATGTAATGCGGTAAATGCAATGGAGCATCGAGATGGAAAAGACAATGGGGCAGATAGAGCCAGGGATGATGGAAAAGTGAGTGGCGGCAACCGAAATGGACGAAACCGAGAGACGGGAAATATATATAGGTGAAAGATGGTCGGGCGTTAAAGTCGTGTCGATAGATTGCGCCTATAGTACTCGCCTTTATTGTGCCGTCACGACTCTCTGTTCCGCGAGACGAAGAAGAGGCGGTTGTCTATCAAGAGAGTAGAAGAGAGAGATATATATATAGAAAGAGAAAGAGGGAGAAGGAATTTTACGCAACAGGCATGATAGATATCCGGGAAGAGTGTCACGAGCAGAGAGACGCGCATCTCTCGTCGTCGTCAGCGAAATAACTTTGCGAGAGCGAGAGATGCATCGCCGCACCTAAAACAGCATTCTAAAGATGTTCGAGCATCGGGACTCGCATAACTATTCAAAATAAAAAGGGTGAATTGTTGAAGAAATTTTCTATCAATTCTCGCGATCAAACACAACATGAGCTAATAAGTAAATAAATTTCACAAGTCAGAAGAAATTTCTCACGCACATTATTGTGCTTCGACATCAATTATTTTGCATAAATTTGAATGAAAGTCAATCGTAATTTAATCCCACGTCGCGTTCTATTTTCAGGGAGAGACGGAAAATCAGTTTTGCCGCGCGTGGTTAACCCTAACTGATATTTATGGAAGCGGTTCTGCGAAACGAGGGTTAAGCCGAATTTCCGCGCGGCTTACAAAAGAAAGTAATTAACTGTGTATGCGCGCACGCTGTGTACGGCTAATCAAAACGAATGACCCGCGGAAGAACGACGCACTAAACCCGGACAGGCCGACAATAGAGCCGAAGGCCTCCGGGTTACCTACTTTTAATTGCGAGCACGTTTCACGCTCAACGGAGCGTTCGCCGCACCGGACGAGCTATAAATTTCCAGCCAGAGCGTTTAACCCCGTTGCAACCACAAAACTAATTAGTCTGGCAGTAATTAATCTTTCATCTCTACGAGCCCGGGCGACGTATCTGTCGAATCGTCAGCGCCGAAAAGAAATCACTGCGTAATCTCGAACTTTTGTTGCGTCGAAAAGATATCACGCTAACTCTACTCAGAATCGTTTCTCGATACGATATCGCTTCAATATTGTGCGTCTTTATAGGTACCACTCAGACGAAATATATATTTGGCTCATCTCGCAGAATTTCTCTCGATATTGCGCTCTTCGAGATTACACTCTCTCTCTCTCTCTTGCAATTTACTTGGCCCAATATAGACTTCAATTCACGCCAACGAACTCATCTCAAGTCTCTAAATGATGCGTAGTTAGGACGACTTAATGACTTCCATCGATTCCACTTCCATGACGATTAGTCGTCCGGTCTTCTATGAGCGGAATTTCATTCGTAATTAACCTCATCGCGACACGTCCTCGAATTAATCCTTAAGTGCATTCCGCGCCCGTTTATCGCCCCTTAATTGACACAACGCGATAAGAAACACTACCGCCGTCCCACTTTCTAGCAACTCTTTTCGTGTCGCAATCGCAACGTGTCGTGAACGCCTACGTAATCTCCCGTTTGGGACAAAAAGCGTGGACGTGCGTGATAAATTTCAATCGCGCGAAACTTTACGATGTCAGCAAAATGATGCAAAAAAAAAAATCGAAACAAAGATATCAGTGTTATATAATACTGTACATTAATATATTTTGGAACTGTAGTTAAATATATTTTAAAACTGCAATTTTATATTTCTATGTATTGTATATATATATTTTTTTTTCAATTTTATTATCGCAAAAAGAGAGAAAAAATATTTTTTTAATTGTATAAGATTCAAGAACTAATCACTGTTTTTAATAAATGTGAAATTAAGAGTTACTTCTTGCTAATTGATTTTATTTCGAGTTTAGACACTTAATTCTCTGCTTATACAAAGAGAAGATCGTTCTCATGAAGAAGATTCATCGCGCATTTTCAACAATATTATTTAGTAGTAGCTCAATCAGCGCTATAACAAGTAATTACGAACAATTTTGTAATAATTAGCAAATAATAAAATAATTTTAGCGTTCGTTATTTTTTTCATACGGCAATTAAGAATCTAATGCGAGAAGTTGTGGCGTGCATTAAAAGCGTTAGAAAAAAATTAGCTAGAATCTGGATACTTTTACTCAAGAAGAAAGGAAGTCTCACAGTCACGTCTACCGCGATCCAATTAATCCGTCCGACAATTATTTTCTATCTCCCAAGCGGAGCGTGTGCGCCGCGTTTTCGTGAGAATGCGAGAGGCAGGGGAAACGTGCGATTGTATAATTATCCGCAGTTTATCTCGAGAGCGAAGCGAAGCCGGCGTCTCTCTTATCGCGCGCGGCCGGAACAATGGTTGCGCATCCCCGGCAACGTGGACAATGCACTTCCGGTATGCATTTCGTGCACGCGGTGACACGGACCGGCTCGCGTTTCAATTTGTATCGTTATACGCTACACCGCCGTGATATCTCGCAACGTACGATATCGAGCAGAGCAACGATAGATGCGGGTCGATTGTGAAAGGGAGAGTCATTTGCCAAGGGTGTGTATGTATGTGTGTGCGTACGCATGCATGTGTATGTGTGTCTCCGGTGTATTTATTTTCCTTTTACGAGAAAACCGTACGAACATATTGAATTTACATAAATCAATATTAATGCATTAGCCGGCGCTATCTCCATAATGTGAAATTCTCTCTTTTTCTTCTCTCTCTCTATAATACGATGTTAAAAATAAATTATCTCAACTGCAACTTTTTCGTCCAATTTACAATCATTATAGCGTGATATCCTGTTAAATTGTATATTATACTGACAAAATTAATGTGATGAATTTCTATCGTGACAACATTCCATCGTGCTAATTATAACTTGGAGGAAATTCCTATTGATTTCCGGTCTACAAAAATAAATTGTAAAAATGTCCATCATAAATCACATGTAATGTGTTAATTAAGAAAAAAGAAGAAATAACTCTCAAACTTTCTCATATTTCACACTTCTATTCAATTTAATTTTATCATATAGAAATGTATTAGTTTGATTGGCCTATACGTATCTCGCGTGACTACATCCTTTAATTAACAGAATTTCTATTTTTTTGATAACAATCTGATAAATTGTATAAAACGCATATCATACATATTTATCTAGCTTGTCAATTCAAATTGAGAAACATTTCTATCACTCATTAAATTCATTCTAACGCGCGTGACATGAAATTGACACGTAGATATACTACATACATATTAAAAAAATATAAAATATATATAAAAACAATTCTCTCTACGAAGTATAAATACACGTGTCCGCTCACGTTCGTCGAAAGAATAAATTTCTATTAGCGCTTCTCCTCTCGTTTAAGGGTCAATGGGGTTATTAAACGGCGACGCGATGCGTCACCGGCGATGGTGAGTAACGGAGGAATGCACTCGTCAAATGCCAGAAGATCACTGACACGATCGCACATCCAACGTCCTCGCCGTCATCAATGAAGGGGTCGCTCATCGAGCTCGTAGTAGAAAATTCTTCGTATAGGTACGAGCGATTGATAACGTATAGGTAGCGATTAGTCATCTGGGCGAGTCTCATTAAAAGCACGTTCGATCGAATTAAGGCCGAGCTTTTCTCGCGCGCATTAAGTGGGTCACTCCCGGATGCCGTTGGCTGATTAGCTCTCTCACGAAACGGTTACTGTGGTATCTCCTTCCCCCTGTTCCCCTTCCTCCCTTTCCCACCCTCTCTCTCTTGCGTCATCATAGTATCGAAGTCGACGACCTAGTTTTTCTCACCTCTGAGGTCAGGTACCGGAGTAACGCAAAGGGATCGTCCACCCCTGCAAAACGCTCTCGTTCGTTTTTTACATCGTGTGCTCGTACATCGTACAATTTTCCTGTCAGATGAATTTAAAGAATGCTGTACAAATATTTTATCGCTTTTTGTGTGTACAATAATCGATCCGCAACGCAGCATCATTCATATTGTATTATCCAACGAGATGCTGTAAATTTTATATATTCAATTTTGATATTTTTCACTGAATTTTAGAAGCTTAGTTTTTCGTCGAAAAAATATTTTTCCTACCTAGATTCTCTCTAAAGATCTTTTGAATCCCGATTAATAGCTATAATCATTGTTTGCCTATGTAAGCTCTGAATTTAACGGGATCATTCATGTAATAATAGAACGGATCATACCACAAGTCTAGCTTTCGCTCTCAGTCGTCGAGTCCATTTTCCGATGACAAACGAAATTTCTGGGGCAGTCGGAGCTAAGCTTAATAAAGGACGTTGCATGGATATTTATAGGCCGACACCGCGATACTCTGTATACAATTCAGTTGTATACCATATATCAGAAATCGATGAGCTTTCGTGCGCGCACGCAGAGGGACGACACATTTTCTCTCTCCCTTCGTAAAATAATGAACTCTCTCTGTATCCAATGTATTTCACTATTACGCAATGAATACAATGTTACGTAATAAATTTCATACATATTTTACTTTCAGTATATAAAACACAAATGCGTAAAATATAGGATGAAAAAATGTGGAACAGAAAAAAAACTGTTACAATCTCTTCAACAATAGCCACGGATTTTTTGCAAGTTATTTTTTTTTATAAAATATATAGTGAGATATATGGCATTTAATCGACGTTCTCTCAAAAATCCATATCGACAAAGTAAATGTAAATAAACGTGTAAATTTCTGACATGTCCTTTTTTTTTCTTTTTCAGGCAACGATGAACGGACCAGTTTATGCGTCATCTTGTCCCGCATTGCAGTCGAATCTCTCGCTACATAGCTCATCCTATTACAGCGAGTACAGCGGCACCGCGCGAAGACGGCTATCCTCGACGGGTGAGGCGGACACTTCCGCCACCTCTAGCTACGAGGGTAGTGATAGCTCCGAAAATAGCGACGAGTCGCGTCTCGACCCTGTCAGTCAGATGGAGCGAGAACAGCTCGAGACCTTCTTTCGCGGATTAAAATCGCAGGTGAGCTACGCGTGCGTCAATTAATTAATCGCGTATAGATTAATATAAAAATAGAGGAAGCAAAATAATATTTTTGTATTGCGCAATGCGTTGTAAAGTATAGATGCAGACACATGTATTATAATTTTGTGTATTATTTTTACGATATATAGGAGAGATGTAATTATTAAAATTCTATGTGATATTTAAGGTATTCGTCTGCGAATCACTGGCGAACCTGTATCTCGGTAGCGCCTCTCAGACTGAGAGGTGGGAGCTTCGTTTCACCGGGATACCCGTGGTGGTTCTCGATCTCGGTGAGACACGATCAAGATCTAAGAGACGGATTCAAATCTTACTGGCAGAACGCGGTACTTGCTTCACTCTCTGGCGCGAGACTATCGACAATCTCTCATCGTACAAAGTAAGTGCACTTGCGATTATTTAAAAAAAAAATATTTGAATAATAAATATCGCCAGCAATTCTCGAGAAAAGTGAATGATTGCAAATGTATTGTAATGTTAAGCTAAGGTAAATAATTAGATGATTCGATTTCGGGCTGGAGATTCGAGACACGATGTTAACGAAAGAGCTCCTTGTGTTTCCTACGTTCGATAAATTACGCTACACGTTACAAAGCAGCTTGTATTTCAAAAGCCTCGGACATTTAACGCCGTTTCAAATTTCTCACCCGTGTTTGCGATAAAAGTGACGTATTTTTACGCGGTGTTTTTAAACCTACAAAGTAACTTGCAGCGAAAAACGAGATTTTCCAGCGAAAAGCGCGTTCCCTTTCGCGTTCCACGCGCTCTAAAGGACCCTCGAAATGTTCGCAGGTGTCGGGACCGGCCTTTCACACCATGTGTCTCTCGTCGGACCACACTCGTCTGGCCGGGCTTAGCTTCGACAACTCGAAGGCGGCGAACGATCTCTGGCAGCACATAGAGCGTCTCGTCTCCTGTCCGGAGAACATCAGTCTATCGGCGCCGGGAAAGAAGAAGAAGAAACCCGTGCAGAAGAAGATCGTCCTGCCGGCTAAGAGCAACATCAGCCAGCCGTGCCAGTTCCAACATGTAACCAGCGTAGACGCGGCCGACCGATCGCGTTACTTCTCGCTGCAAACCCTGGTGCCGGCGTTGAGCGAACTCGAGAACTCGCTGGAGGCGAACTTCTGAGACAAACCGGACGCCTCCAAGCTCTCGTAGAAACGACGTAGCGCGACGCCCGATTCTCGCCGCTTTCTTCCCCGGAAGTGATCCGGGAAAGAAGGACTCGCCCGATTCGTGCGTGTGTGTGTGAAGGGTTCTCAAAGGAGGAATCTGGCGTCGTGGATATGTCTTGAGAGAGCTATCGTGAATGAACGGGAGGCGAACGCTTAGAAAATGACACCGCGGATATCCGATCGGAAATCCTTTTATCTTTTTGCTCTTCCTCCGAAGTAATTGTAGACGGTCTAGAGAGCCAAGTTGAAAGGAAGGAGGAGAGATATATCGATAAAGCTTTAACGACGAAAGGAAGGTGAATATATACTTTTTTTTCTCCAAGAACCTTCGCGGTTCTGGAACCTCGTAGTTCTACTCGAATTCATCATTATCTTATCCCGTGTGCTCCTTTCGATATAATCATCCAACTAATTTGATAAGAGCTAATGGCGTAAATTATGTAAGGTAACGCGCGCTGAATTCCGATTTCACGTTATCTTCGTTTTCGCGTAACACGTCCGGATCAACGTTGTCTGAGAAACGAGAGACAGAAAAGTCGAACCGAAGGGCCTCGAAGAGACAAAGAAGTGACGGGAGGGAAGGAGACTTACTTGTCTTTCTTGAGATAGACTAATCCGTTAGTGTCACGCGCGCGAATTACGAGACGTAGTCGTCCGCAGGCTAAAGCGGAACATTCATCAATCCTTCTAAGCACTCTCGAGAGCGACTGCGATTGATGTCTACGACTGCGAATTCTGACTGCAGCCCCGAGGCGAAACAGAAAGTTCCCCTGAGGCGAACTATCTGAGTCACGTATAGTTCTATTCTCTTTCTCTTCAAAGAGTCCTTTTTCGAATCACGCACCATTCGCGATAACTATTCTAATAGATTATTTCGTTATCTATCATTACTGCATCGCGTGAATATTTTTCTTAAACTTTTAATTTAATTCTGAATAAAACAAGAAAAGAAATTATATTCCAGATAAAAATCGAAAAGAGATTATAATGATAAAAATAGAGACAATTCTATTTTAATTATCGATAAAATAAATTTTACTTTATTTAAAACGAAGAAATTATGTTTTTTTTTGCTTTGCATGTACACAATGATTCTACGTACATCTGCTTGAAATGATCTTTGAAGATTCTAACAGGGCGGTGTCCCAATCACGCGATGTACAGGTATATATACGACAGTAGAAACAAGCGCTTTCGCGACAGAGTGTCAAAGACGCGAAACCTTGACACGAAATTAAACAGCGGAGCGACGCGCGGTTAAAAAGAATCATGCAAATATATGCGAAACACACTTCCGGGAGCATCGCATCGGCCGCACATGCACATTGTTGCTCTATTCATCGTGAAAAGACAAGCTTTCTCCCTGGCGAGTGTGAGGGAAATGTACGGTTTGTAATTAAAGGCATGCGCTACCGCGGTGAAAATGGCATCAAGAAGGCTTTCAAAGTGCATTATGCAGTGTGAATAATTACCATGAAACCGTCGTTTCGACGAAGCTAACTTTAATGCCTTCCTGACTTCGCATTCAGCGATAAAAGGCCAATAATTTCAAAAGGAAGTACTTAAAGATGGAGTGGCAATTATCTTTAATTGATGGAAAAATCTATTTGCTCTGACGCTATTGTCACTCGAAGAAACGACAGGTCGCTGATTCAGCATATGTATGCCAAACGAAAGGATGCACTGCGATTTTATGTAAATCAGATCAAAGAGTTAGACTGTTGTGTGAAATATCATGGTATATAGTAATTGAAATAATATTATGTAAAATGTCAAAGAAGATATTGTGGAACAAATATAAAGAGGATATCAAAGAAGGGCCAGCTTGTCGTAAAGTAGAATGTCAACGTAAGACGTAAGATAATTCATTGACGTCTCTATAGCGGAATAAATACACGTATAAGATTGATGCATCGATAAGCGATGCCATGATCGAAAGAATCGATACATATACAAATCAAAAGAACAAAATACTGCCGAACGTTCATGAAAAATAAATTGTAAGATTACGAGCGACGGTGTGTAGAGTACTGGAAACACAGATATTGTGCCAAAGTATACAAAACGATAAGAAAGCGAGTTATTTAATTGATATTCGAAGAAGATCCGTGCTTCCGTAAGACTCGGAAAGAGTCATAGTCCACATTTTGTAATTTAGATCATTACAATAAATTTTCGTCAGCATTGTTTCCAGTACACTCTCGTAACGCTCGCGATTAACCCATTACGATGTTAAATAAATAGATGATTAATTAGAAAATTAGTCGGATCGACGTGTATGACATGTCCATGTATAACGAATTCTTCCTACCGTTTCGGCTCGTTAATGTGTCCGTAGATTTCGGTAGAAATTCTCGATCTTGTTGTCGAAAACGTGTAACGCTCGGTAAAATGTTAAACTATTTAGAACATTATAATTCTATCCAAGTGAAATAATGTTAGAGATGTAACTCTTTTAAAGATGTAATTAAAATATTATATTCTACATACCCATTAAATTATTATTCTAGTTTCTATGAATTTTAAGATTTTACAAATTTGAGTTATTATAGTCTAAATACTTTTTTCTAATGTATAATAAATTACATATTTTTTTAATCTTATGCTGATGCTGTATTCTTTTAATGTTTATCATGTTATTTCACTTGGATATTGGGTATTTGGTCCATAACTGAAGATTGAAGATGGAGACGAGCATTCTTTCTGCACGAAGCAGAAAATTGATTTATTGAGAAAATCGCGCGCGATAACTCGTTATTCAACGATGTTCGCAAGAAGACTGGTTTCACCATCCCATGAGTATGTAGACACCGTTAAAAATAAGTACCTATGTAGTGAATAGTGGTTATTAGGACGACTTGACTTTATCCTTAGAATCAATCATTTCGCGCAATTCATTTGACATTCCGTCATTATTCGTATCGCTTCGAAACTTTCGCTTCATATCCATTGCGAATCAAATCTTTAGCGATTAAGATTAATTAGCGTGTCAGTATCTCTAAGTTAAGCTCGCCCGGAGGACTTTTTTTATCGTGTTGTCGTGAAACAGACGTAATGTTTTTTAACGCAAGATTTATACGCACATTTTGGTAACGTGAATCGCAGATTTCTTTCGGGAGAAAATCCGGGCTATATTCTAGACATTTAAATAAATAATTGTAACTTCGAATTAATATTAATTTCATTATCTACGACTGTGATATAAATATATGTATTTGTATCGTTACGTTCCCCGTAACATGTATCCGCATTAATTAATCACTTGAAGATATAAGTTTATGAATATATCGTATGTAATAATAATTATTATTATTGTGCTAATAAATAGTAACTTCATGAAGCAGAATACTTGTGGGAGTTTACTTGCTACTTTCTAAATTATAAATTGAAAGATATAGAAACTTTTCAATGCAAATAGCTGTTTCTCTTGCTACATATATAACTATTATTAAAACTAAAAATAATTTAAATTAATTAAAAATATTTTCCCTGTATTTTAATATTACATATCTGTCTGAAAACTTAATTTTTTCAATTTTATAATTAATAAGGAATATATAAGATAAAACAAAATCAAGAAAAAATGTAAAGCGAAAAAAATACAAATATAATCGTAAATATATAATGTGTGTGACATAAGCTTCTTTATATATTAATTTAAAAAAATAATTTTATATTAATTTTACAATTGTATCGATATCTTTTAGTTTTATATTCATTGTGCGTGACTATGTGTTTTCACATTAATGTATTTCTTCCATTATCACTTATGCTTGTTTTATTTCAACATTTGCCGAGAAGATATTAGCGTTGACTAGTGCACCACAAGATTTTTTTAAAAAATAATGATTCTTCCTGATATTTGATGAGTATACCATTATTCGGTACAAGCTGGAGAGATATAAAAGCAACATTTCCAGCAATCTTACAGAGATCAACCTTATCGAATGGCGTTCTCCACGAGAATCTGGTTACTAGAGAATTATTCTTTGATATTCAAAATACAACAATGCCGATCGATGAGACATTTTAGCCATTGCCAGTAAACGTAATGTTTTGGATAAATAAAATTGCCAAATATAAATTTTCCTATATTTTGCATATCGTTGTACCAACAAATGTCAAGTAACATAAATGGTACCGGGTATTCTTGTTCAAATTTGTGGTAACAAGTTTCGTCGATTCGATTCGTTGACTCTTCTGTCAGAAAGAATATCATTAATAATTCTCGACTTAATTCCTAGCTGTTATTACACACTGGTTTTGAAACCAAAAGTGGGAAGAGACTAATACAATTCCAGCGCAAGCTAATAATCGTGATTTATTATACGGACATTATTTGCTACGCAAAACCGATACTCGCGCAAATATCGCGTCGATAAATCACGAATACGTATATTAACGATATTTTCTCCGTATTGCGATGCGCAGGGGATAAATCATGTATCGTCGCAAAATATATATTGAACCTCACCCCGTCGAAAATCGCGGTACATATCCGTCGAAAGATCTCCCGTTTTGACGCGACGTACAGGTAAAGGCTGCCTATGTATCTGGGTGCTCCAGATAGATGCGTCCGATATGAGATCGGCCGGTTGTGGAGCCGAGTTCCGAATCGAGTAATGAGAGACTCACCGGTGCCGCCTTCATGCCTACATGCATCTCGAGCTCCCGTGTTTATGGGAATCATCGGATTTCCATCAGAGAGTATTCGCGATCATGTGGGTGGATCTCGGAGAAGCGAACGGTGTGGAGTAGGTGGAGATGACTATATATTTGCTCTCACGCACGTTAGACACCCGGGAAAGTGTATCCTTTGACACAACAACGGTCCTCGAACGAACATGAAGTGTGCTTGTAGAGAACGGTAAAGTGACAACAGTAAAGTAACAAATAACAAGATTTGAAGAGATGGGAAATATATGTATAAGAACGTTCTACCTCTTCGAAGTGAATTATTTGCTACTCGAAGCGTGTGGCGTTTACAACAAATTAGATTCATAAAAATATTAAATATTATTAAGCTGTTCAATATTATCAAGCCATTGTGTGCCGACTATATACAAGTGTATTCCTGCGTCAACGTAACAATTTTATTTTACTAAATGTTTCAATGAAAATCTCGAAATGTTACGAACAAAACAAATATTTCTGTATATACAATATCACACACAATTATGATTATTTTATTTTATTAGTAGATATATATAATATAAAAATATATTATATTTAAATAAATATATTACATTTTAATTCTTTCAACATCCTGCATACACGAAAATTTAATACGATAAAATATTATAGATCAAATATGTTTTAAAAATAAAAAAATTAATTCATTCTAGATTA